AGTTTCAGGATACAAGATAAACATACAAAAATCAGTTGGATTCCTATACACCAACAAACAGAACCTTGAAGAGGAAATTACCAAATCAATACCATTTACAATAGCCCCCAAGAAGATAAAATACTTAGGATTAAGTCTAACCAGAGATGCAAAAGATCTGTACAATGAAAACTACAAGACACTACTGCAAGAAACCAAAAGAGACCTGCATAAGTGGAAAAACACACCTTGCTCATGGATAGGTAGACTCAACATTGTGAAAATGTCAATTCTACCCAAAACGATCTACAGATACAATGCAATCCTGATCCAAATTCCACTGTCATTTTTTAACGAGATGGAAAAATAAATCACCAACTTCATATGGAAAGGTGAGAGGCCCCGAATAAGTAAAGCATTACTCAAGAAGAATAAGGTGGGAGGCCTGACACTACCTGATTTTAGAACCTATTATATCTCCACAGTAGTCAAAACAGCCTGGTACTAGTACAACAACAGATACATAGACCAATGGAACAGAATTGAGAATCCAGACATAAATTCATCCACCTATGAGCAGCTGATATTTGAAAAGACCCAAAGTCCATTAATTGGGGAAAAGACAGTCTCTTTAACAAATGGTGAAGGCATAACTGGATATCCATCTACAAAAAACTGAAACAAGACTCATACCTCACACCATGCACAAAAACTACCTCAAAATAGATCAAAGACTTAAGTATAAAATCAAAAATGATAAAGATCATGGAAGAAAAAATAGGGTCAACACTAGGAGCCCTAATACATGGCATAAACAGAATACAAACCATAAGTAACAATGCACAAGCACCAGAATAGAGACTAGATAATTGGGAGCTCCTAAAAATCAAACACTTATGCTCATCAAAAGGCTTCACCAAAAGAGTGAAAAGGCAACCTACAGACTGGGAAAAAATTTTGGGCTACGACAAATCTGGTCAGCATCTCTAAAATCTACAAGATACTGCAAAACCTCAACAACAAAAAGACAACCCAATTAAAAAATGGGCAAAGGATATGAACAGGCACTTCACCAAAGAAGATATTCAAGCTGCTAACAGACACATGAAGAAATGCTCATGCTCATTAGCCATTAGAGAAATGCAGATCAAAACTACAACAAGATATCATCTCACCCCAACAAGGCTCGCATTAATCTAAAAAACACAAAATAATAAATGCTGGAGAGCTTATGGACAGACTGGAACACTTATACACTTTTGGTGGGAATTTAAAATGGTACAACCACTTTGGAAATGGATTTGTCACTTCCTTAAAAAGCTAGAAATAGAAGTACCATACGATCCAGCTATCCTGCTCCTTGGAATATATCCTAGAGAAATAAAAGCTGTCACACAAATAGATACACACACACCCATGTTCACTGCAGCACTGTTCACAATAGCAAAAACTTGGAAACAACCAAGGTGCCCATCAACGGAAGAATGGATAAACTAATTATGGTATATCCACACAATGGAATACTA